ACGCTGCGAGGTTCTCTGTGACCTCTTCTCCTATCTGGTAAATGCGCTGAACACGATGTTCAGTGACCTTGGCCTCGGTTTTGAATCCTTGCTCGGAGAGCTTGATGAGGTTTGCCGGAAATGTGGCTTGCTGTTCCCGAACCCACGCTTCTGTGAGTCTGTTGCTTGGTCCAATGTACTTTGGGTCGCTGCTGACAACCGAGCCGAGTGAATATGAAGGCTGTTGCTGCCGAGTAAAATGACACTGCGATCTTGTAGATCTACCCTCGACCGAATCGCCAAAGTTAGTTCAACTCTCAATGATTATAGCGTAGTTCCATGGCCAAGGATATGGTTCGGCTTACACCCGATTGGGGATAACTCACCTCTTTGGCGTGTTGTTGAGCACCATTCGGTTCAAGTCAGATAGACATAGAGAGCAGCCATCAACCCGGAACTACACACGAACGCGCAAATACCGGATCTTAGATGATGGGAAAAGACAACAAAGGGTCGTGAACAACTTGAGAACACTCTTGAAGGTGAATTCAGAATGAGAGAGGAAGAGGGAGTCGATCCATGGCTCAACGGGGCGGCTTACGACTAAGAAGCAATCTTCGATCGCAATTGCGATCAGGGCATCCCGGCCCCGTCCGCCACCGCCAACAAGTGCCGTTGGTCGCAATTGAGAATGTGGAAGGGGTCCAAAATGAAGCAAACATGTCTCTTGAATCCTTGGATTGATTTCCAATCGTTTTGAGGCGATTTGGGTGGGTTGTGGTCGTTCGACATGGCTTCACGGGTGGTCTGGGACGGGATTTTGGCATCGGATCTCACTACATGGGAAGATTGAACCCAGCAACGATGTTCAACTCAGCGTTTTTCATATGCAAAGACTGTTCAATATTGTTTCTGAATAGTCTCTTTGTGATTGGTCGTAAAAGAACGAGTATTGATTTGCTCTGGCAACTTGCGCACTCGCTTGGCGTCGAAGGGGAGGTCTGGGAGCCAACCGTCCGCGCTTGCATCAAAGAAACCCACGACTACATGTACCCGAACAACACGCAAAAGGATTTCGATCTTTTCTACCACGAATTTGGAAACTCTGAAACTAGTGCCATTACTTCAAATCGAGCCACAATGAGCCCTAGATCACCGTCCAGGGTCGTTTAACTGGTGATCCTATGGACGTGCCCTCGGAGAATTAGCTCAATAGCGCTAGACTCATCCAGGGACCAGGAGTCTGGAATGCTTCTACGGATATTCTAGTACGTGGAAAGGCCAGCGTTGCATCGGCAAGCTTCAAGAGAAGGATGATAGACTTCTTCACCGCCTGATTTAAGGTTTTTTACGGGAGTTCTCAATGGACGAACCCTCTCTATGTGGAACAGCCGATGGATTCCTGTTCCGAGCCTACGGTCTCGTGACAAGGGGTTCATGCGGGCGATCTTGGATTAGGGTTGACGACTTGGCCATCACGAAGGGGTGATCGCAAAGTCGCAAAGTCGCAAAGAAGCAGGAGCAGTTGCACTGATTCTGGAGATGTGAGAGAGTCCCCAAACCCGGGGTTTCGGCAGAGTAGCGGTCAGAAACTGTGTTCCCCTGGCGGAAACGGCCGTGTGAAGCGCGCTTCTGTGCAGGCCTACTACTAGTGGCCAAGCGGACTGGATCTCTGCTGTTCCGGCCGTCGCCATTTTGCTGCTCCGGATGCTTCGACGCGGGGTGGTGTTCCCAACGACGGGTAAAAACATCTGCCCTGCCCTCCATCTCTCTGCCACATAAATTACATAAACCAACTACTCGTTTCGATTGTTTCGACATGGATGCCCAGTAGGATGATTGCCACACCCTTGCTTGGATCCGATCCACCAAAGGCCGATTTGCTCCGTGTCCCTGGATCTGTGCTCCGCTGGTCCCATACCCATCGATTCCGAGTCGCTGGGTCGAGGTAGGACAAGACGCCTCGCCATTGGAAGAGGCGCAGCAACCTGCGACGCTGCCCCTGATTCCGATGGAGACTTTGAAGCGGTGTGAGCACGCTTGAAGCAGTTTACCCATGACCGCGGTACCAACAACCAGGTTTGCCAACGACAAGATTGGCATCCCGGATCCTTCAAACCCTAGTCTTCAGTCCGCGGCGCAGTCTTGCTTGTAATTCGCGCTGGAGCCGTTACTTGTCAGTCACAAAAGCCTTCACGAAAAGTGGCCAACTTACCTTGACGAGACGAGCAATTACAGGATCGGATGCAGGCTGACGTAGGACGCGCAAGATCATGCAGGCGTAATCTCTTGAACCAACAAACTGTGAATGGTTGCACGATTCCGGCGCGAATCTGTGTCGCCGAAAGAAGACGCCGCAATATGGACCAGAAGCGGTGCAGAGATCCCAACCTCCACCCTGTCCTCAGCGCATTCGTCTGGTCACCTGCTCTTCCTCCGATGGGGTCGACGCTGATCGGCCCTGGCGCTCTCAAGTCCGTGGAGTGATGTTGTCGGAAGGTCGCCGAGAGGCTGATGATGATGGCTCGCTCGCTATGACCTATTAGGCCACCGCCCTTGGTCGGCAGCGAGCGCCAATACGTTGAGAAGCGTTTTTGCGATACGTCAAGAAGGCGAAGCTTCAATCAATCATCTTTTGAACTGAAAGCACACCGTGGTCGACGGACCCCGGCTTCTTGACCTGTTCGGCTGGCCATTGAAGCCATTGGGCGTACTGAGATGGTAGAGTAACGAACAGCCCTTTCATGAGATGCTCCGACCAGCCTTGCATGAACCAGAAATGTTCGAGGGTTTGAACCAGGACATTGAAGTGCCCTAGCAATATCAGGGATAGCGCTTCCTTTTGCTGGATGCGAATTACAAAGTCGTCGCTCATGCTATACAGCCATCGCATAACGACCTCAAATCGGCCCTGGACGTGCGTCTCCGGCTCCGCTTCGGTGCCAAATGTTTGCTTAAAGCAGTCCTTGAGCAATTCAAGTGAGATCGCGTACATTTGGCGCTCGGGTTGAGGCGTAGTGGCCACCAGATCGGCGAGCTCTTCGAACTGTTGTTCCCATGAAACCATCTTGTGCACGGGGTCGGGCAGTGGCGGACAGTGAGTCCAGGTATGTTCGAAAGATATGTTTCCGTCATCCCAGCCCGCGATGATGGCTTGTATGCCCATCTTCTGGACGACTATACGGACTCCTCGGAGTAAGCCCCACCATGGAACCTCGCCGTCCGCTGCGAGGACTAGGAGATGCCCTGGGCTTGGCTTCTTCGCAAACGTGTAGAGGCAGACGAGCACCGTGGTATGGTATAGCGCTTGACAGTTGTCTATATTGATATTCGGCATAAGGTTCGTGATCGCCGGTAGGGCACTTGTGGAGTGCCGCTCTGCGAGGGTCTCGTACCGCAGGGCCTCTGCTGGCCGGAGTCTAGCGAGGTGCTGTGCTGAAATCGCCAGAACCATGTGGAAGACGTATTGATGTTGGAAGCCCAGCCGGGGCACATATTCTCGCCATACACGTGCTTCACCAAGGGTAATTGCTGTATGGCACATGTAGTGATGCAGGAGTTCGAGATCGTCCCGGTTTAGAACCGCGGGGGCGATGGAGGAGAAGGAGGGCTCGGCGAACGTTGTAGGGGCCGGTGTACGCGGTGTCTTGGTAGCATCGGATTCGGAGGCAGTCGGTGTCGGTAATTTCCGGACGGCGTCCCAGTCCTTCCGAGGACGGCCCCGTTTTCGCGGTGCCGGTGGCGGCGCCGGTGGCGAGAGGTCGGTAGGAGATTGGGTGAGTAGGTTCGTGGGCGGAGGAGCGAAGTCGCAGTGCATCGAGAATCTCAGACAGTTGCCGCATTCAGGCTTGATCTCATCGCACTGTCAGGTCCATTACAGTCAGCATTGATTACTATGCAAAGTCCAATTGCGCGGTATGCGTGGGTAGACAGCGATTCAGCGTCACGAGAAGGTATGGAGACACGCGCCTTGACTTTTCTCCTTTTACAATTGTGGCATCCATTGCGAGACTTCTTATGAGATCTTCTCTTATTCTTACGACACGTCCCGCAGCAGCAACCACTGCCGCTCGTGTGCTTGTCCGACGCCGTGCATACTGATGCTGTCGGGCCGGTCTCGTTCTGGCCCTCGTTCATGGTTCGCGATCGTGGGGCGGCGCTCGTCGAGCGTGGATTCGGTTAGGCTGGGTAGCGGTTAGGTAAGGTATGGGACGGTAGCTCGAGCGGGACGGCCTCGTCCATTCCTACGAGCGCATTCCGCATATGATGTCGCTTGGCATCAGTTTGGGGTAGCTGGGAGTCAGCATTGGATTAGTCGATACATAATCCAGCGCCTCAAAGAGCTTGAAGAATTGCAGAATGTCGACTTGGCCTGCTCCAAAGCTGTTCGGCAACCTCCCCGCACGTGGGTCCACGGCCTCGCTTTCGGGGTCTCGGATGATTTATCGTATTTGATCCGAGAATTGATCCGGTTTAATTGGCTGAGCGACGCTCACTCTCCCAATGAGATGAATCCCTGTCCTCAAGATCTCATCAATTGAACCTTTCTTATTTCGGCCTACTGCAGGCTGCTTCTGTGCTTGGACTATGAGACTCGAATGATCGTATCCAATAATTTTGATTCGAACAGGCTCCGACTTCTCATATCAGGCCCAACAGCAAACATCGTCATCCAACTCAACACCTGAGCCACGATGCCCAAAATCAATCCTCCATTCGACATCCTGAATTCCGCCGCAAAATGAACCTCATGGATAATTCTCCGCCAAGTTGGCGCAACAGAGATGAAGTCCCTTTTATATCTCAAATCTTCTCTGACGTTCCATAATAAGTATGATCGTCATAGACCCCAGCTAAATTCAGCGTTTCAGTCTTACAGCTGTTAGCAATCAAGGCAATTAAGGTAGGTACATCTAACAAAATTGACGTTCTATTGCATTCGAGTAACTTCTATATCAAATCTGGGGTATCAACCTCTAACCTTATGTATCAAATGGGTATCTCTAAGTCATGCTCGCGTTCTACATCCAGGTCTTCGTATTAACGACCCCTCTCAAGTCTAACTCGTACTCTGCATTTGCCTCTCTTCGGAAACTCCTGATGCTCATCGGGGTCATCGGCGTTCTAGGAGCCTGCAATGTGGCGCTATCTCTCCACGGAGGCTGATAACTAAGCGGCTGTAATGGCGCTGGTGGCAGTGGCTTCATCCTCGGATCGAGATGCTCCGAAATGTGAACCTTGATCATGAATGAGTCCTCTGAAGGCGAGGGCTCGGGGGATGGTACCGTTCGGGGCCGTGATGTGATGACGGGAGCTGGAGCAACAGGCTTCTTGTCTCCGAATGAAAGCCGGCTGCTTGCTCTGTTCAAAGTTTCCTTGACTTCAACCGTCGGGCGTGTGCCTCGGATAGTCGTGAGAAGTCCCGGGATCTTCTTGAGGAGAGGTCGTAATGCAGGAAGACTACCGCACATCAAGGCGCACGAGATCTCGGCCATGCTCCATGTCACCACATCGACGTTATCCCCTGGCTATGTCAGTCCCTTGCTTGGGATGTAGTCTAGCGCCTGAACTTACATGTGGTGTCATAAGACTCCGCAAACAGTACGAGCCAGCGCAATCGCACAATGGAAGTGATGCATGCGCTGAAAGAGATCTGAGTTAGCCGAAAGACTCGAAGTTTCAATGCAGCGCTAGGACTCACAATGATCCAAGACTCAACATGAAGCCAACCGCAATCTTCTTTTTGAAACCCAATTGGAGCCTGCTGAGCTGCTGGATGGGCATAGCGAAAATGACGATATCCTCAACGATGCTGAGAATTGCGCTGGCCATAGCAACGGCGTTGACATTGACGCATTTGCGCTCGATAGTTCGGTCCCAGATTCCAGCGATGGGGCACATTCGAACATGATGACAAAGAGAAAGACCAGTCCATGGCCGACGAGGAATACAAATACTAGTTTGTTGATGATTTGGAACTTACGATCGGGGAACACGCGGGCGAAAAGGGCAACGATGGACAGCTTTGCTAGGATGAGGACGACGACGTAAAGCATTTGAACAGCGTAGTAGAGCTATGATCAGTCCATTAGTGACATTGAGCTTCGTAGTCGCGCGGCATGTTCAACCTACTTGAAGAATCTTCTGGGCATTTTCCGGGTTCACGTTCCAGTAATGAAGCCCGAAGCCAAGATCGGCGGCTTTGAAAAGTCAGCAACTGAGTTGTACCAAAAGCAATATAGACGACGGCGTGGAATACTCACTCGCAACTACGCAACCAAGGGTGGTAGCTAGTATAGCCTATGATAGATATCAGTCGCTGAGGACTAGGTGAAGTATAGTTGAGACATCAATCAACTTACGGCAGTGACTATCGTCATCCAATCATCGAGCTCTAGGCGGCTTGCTATAATCCATCTCGAAACCAATCTCAATATCACAATCGGAAAGGTTATCACGGCCAAGACCGCCACAACCAGCTTGATTTCGGTGTCTCGAGATGGATGAGGGTAAGGACGGCAGAGGTCATCCGTCATATAAGATAATGCTAAAATTCATCAGTAAAAGCCAGGCTAGGTACGCCAAGCTGAGAACTCACACAGCTGATCTTGCCAGCTACACGATGTTTGCACGCATCCAGATAGTCCATCTAGGAGGGTGACGTTAGTGCAAACACATGAGGCGATGTTGTCTAGTCCGCAGCCTGAACTGAAAAACGCTGTCGTAACACAAGAGACCTGCCATAGGGTGAGATGAAGTCAACTGGAGGCTGAAGGTATCGACACTTACGGCGCATTGAGGGATCTGAGACATGAGCTCCAACGGAGAAGTTGCTGCATTCGTGCTGTCTTGGCCGAGAACGGTACCTGCTACCCAAGGTAGCAGCGCAAGGAACCACCGCACGTGGTTCTTCATGGTTATATGAAACGTGGAAGAACCAGAATACGGGGACCTATCGAGTTCTTGTTTATCTGAAGAGTGTTATCCAGTCCGAATATACGTCTCGGGAGACTCGGGGCATCGTTCCTAAATGCGGCTTTCGGCGACTCCAGCAAGCACGCATGAGACGGGAGTCGAACCAGAGGAGAGCTTGGCCTTGAGATAAGTATGTTGAATCATCGTGCCTCGGACGGACTTGACAGCCTGGATCCAAGATTCGAATGCCCTTGGATATCCGCAAACCGTTGGTCAATGTCTATTTCCGACTAGGTTCTCATGTACGCGAGCCCTGCGAGTCTGTCATCTGCATCTTGGCAGAGAGCCCAGAAATACTACACATGCATGCAAAGCGTCTGATATTGATTCGACCCACGCGAGTATTCTTGAGTTGGGGTTACAATAGTCTCCGAACAAGGCAAAACGCTATGAGCCTCGCAGCTCAATTCGGCATGAGCGACCACGATGGTGGGCGGGGTGAATCTAAGTCTGAATCATGAACCCTGGTGCCGGCAACGAGGTCCATTGGTTCGTCCGATGTCCGCTGGGTCGGGGTTTCAAGTTGACATGCCGTCTGGTGAGCCCGTGCAACCTTTCCGGCCATCTCTCTGGGTCACTGAGAAACGGGTGGGCAGATCATATTGCTTGATCAATATAAAGAAACTCAAATATCGTGGTGGCTTCTGGCGGTTTGCTGCAAGCAGCACTCTATCGACCTATCCACTCTGGCGCAAGCGGCCCTGCCTTTGCTTCATGCACCCGCACGAGTTGACAAACACCCCGCCCGCTATCACATTTCGGCTCCATGTGGCTAACCACGTGTAGAGCGCGTGCGATTCAAGTCCGCGCGCGGTGATGCCCTCACATGGGGTTGGTTGTGGAGCAATTGAGTTGAATCACGTCAAAGTCCCCACGCGATAGTCGCAAACGCGGGCCCGGACTCTGAAGAAGAAGCGATAAAGAATCAGGATATTGACGTAACCTGGAGGCGGGATATTGATTGAGCTATCCGCAGCCACACCCGCAAATATGACAAGTCATATCTTCCTCCTCAAAGTTGAGCTTCCCAAAGGTCATGTGTGATGGTGCGACCTTGCGGAACCACGAGAACGAGGAGCTCGGGTCGGCGTGAATTGGCCCAGTTACGCTAACGCCACAGCCGCGCTTCTCTTACGAGGTGTTCCCTGAGTCAAGCGCCCGCCTCAAGCCACGCCAAGTGCTGCAGATTACCTGGAGTAATCAAGGGGTTCTGGAACCAAGCTTTAGCTCATCATCGTAAGGTGTGATGCAACAGACGGATACCGTTGGTTGGCCTTCCGCGTACTCCGGACTTTTTCGGCCGGGACCTCTACCATGGCATGGCCACATGCTGCACACCGGTGTGACAACGGTTGCTTAGCGTGCTCCAAACCCATGGCAAAGACGTGCTGCCGCATGCCTATTTTGCACTTAAACTTTGAGGCAAGGGCTGCCCCCAGCTGTAGAAGCCGTTATCTCTCGTGCACTGGCTTGGGTTTTCCGATCCTGAGCAATTTAGCACTCAGCTTGCGCCTACCTCTAGGCTTGGCTTGCCTTACCTGGCGTTGCGATTGTGAGAGTTTACTAGCTCAGGCAAGTCATTAACCTTAGCCAATCCGGGGTTGCACAATGTTTGGTCTTGGGAAATGCTCGCTGTTTCTGGTAAAATGAAAACTAGCCCTGACGGAATAATAATCAATTGAGTTATGAAGACAGGCTTCAGCCGAGGAATCAAGATACGCTTGCTACCGACAAGAAAGTGAACTTTCATCCTACGCAATTGATTGATCAAATGAAAGACATAGCGTTGCATAATAATCGTGAAAGGAGAGCCAAGCGAAACCAGTCTTGGCACTGTGCCGCCATGCCGCAGCCCTCCCACGCCGATAGCGTAGCAACGGCATTGAAAGCTGTAGGAAATGAAGATTTGACACTTGCGTAACCCTATCGGTCATATCCGCAATCTGACAGATGATGTGACAAGAAGGCAGGATAGCATTATCTTCATACCCATGGCGTTCAAGTGCGCGCCTTTTCCGACACGACCTTGATGTTCAATCACCACTGCAGTTGACCGGGCTTTTCCCCAGTGATGCACTCCCGTCATGCCGAATCCACTCTATGGACCTCTCCCGCCGGCGGGAAGCATCCAGGTCCTCAGTATCAGACCAGGCGGTGAATCGAGCGTCCTGGAGGCGGGTTCGGAGGCGGGTTTCCAGGCGGGTTTCGAGTCATTAAGTCCCGAGACTCCTCACGACTGCGTCTTTTCTGCACGTGGAACAGGTTCTCATTTACCTAGACAATGAAGATGATTCGTGCGAGCTTAGCAGTGGAACCACGATGTTGATGTGCCTTGAATTAGTAGCAATTCACCGATTGCGCCATTTGCTCATAAATTCACAGATTCCTTGCCCCAATGTCGAAAGATATGTTCCGTATCAGTCCGAATGTTGCTGACGATCTAATTCACTAGCTCAACCAACTAGTCACGAGACATTCGTAGATAAGTAAGTGGACGGCCCAGAAGTGATCAGATGACTATGTATATGAGAGAGTGTCGTCTTTCTTGAATCAAGTGAAGAAAAGAGGCATTAAGTGCATGTTGGTAAATTTCGGATGGACTCCGTTGGGGCTGGAAGTGTCTCTTAGTCGTATCAATCTCGATGAACACAATCAGACCTTTCCAGTCTCACCGGTTGTTCCGTGGGAGAGCTGTATCTCTGTCGGATTAGAAGTCTAATTCGACCGCGGCATATAGCTAACTGCGCAGGGGCTAATTAGGGGCCCTATTTACGATTATCGTAGCTAGCTTAACCTACGGTTAGAACCTCCTTTTTATACTTATATAAAAATTTATATAGTTTAATTAATCTCTTTATTAACTTATAATTCGAACTAATTACTCTATAATAAGGATATTAATATTAATTAGTAGTTAAATTTTATTATTATAAATCGGTAAAGTATTTTATTATATAAAAAAGATAACTTTTTAATATTATATAAAATAAAAGATTTATATTAATTAATTTTATAAAAGTAAATAAAAAAGGAGGCGATTTTTAAATATTATATAAAATTAAGTAATTATAGTTTTTTATTATTTATAAGAGGTCGACGTTTATTACGTTAAATTATGTTAATTAATAGAATTATTTAAATAACTAGTTTTTTACTGTTATTTTAAATAGCTTTTTTAATAAATATTTTTTTATAACCGGCCCGCAATTAGAAATTAACTAGTTAAATTAGTAAAAAGAAATATTTATATAGTAATTACTTATTTAATTAATTAGTATAATAAATAAGTTTAATAATATAATATAAAAAATAACTACGTAATTAAAAAAAAGGATTTTTAAATATAAATATTCTTATTTAATAATAAAAATAACTTTATAAGAGTTATAAAGTTAAAAAATTTATAGTATATAAAAAGGTTTATTATTATAAGGATTTTATAAATATAATTATAAGCCCGTAATCTAAACGACCTCTTTATAACTCTTTTAATTACCCCCTAGGTATTATTTAGGAATATAATATAAAAAATAGTCTTATAAAAAAAGAGGGGATTTAAAAGTTTTAATAATATTAAGTTAAGAATATTATAAATTTTAGAAATTAACTTAAGAAGAAAATAGCTACTTTAAAATAGTTTTATAACCTCTTATTATAGTTATTATTAGCTTAAAAAAAGGCTAAAAAAACGAGGATTTAAAAAAGAAAAAAAAGAATTTTTTAAAGGGTTATTAAAAAGCTTTTTTTTTATACTAGTTCTTAGTACGAGATTATTAATTTTAAAAAATTAACTAAGTAATAAAAAGAATTATTAATAAGTAATAATTATTTAATAGTAATTAAGCTATAAAAAAAATTATTTAAGAAATATAAAATAGGGTATTAAAAAGTAATTAAAAAAAGGATTTTTAAAGTAATTAGCCCTATTTAATATAAGTAATAAGTAGTATTTTAAATAAGTCTTTTAGCCCCGCGATTTTATAAAAAAGAGGGCTTAACTTTACTAACTATATTTAATTACTTATTTAGTTTTTAATAACTTATTTAGCTTTTTTATAAACTACTTAGCGTTTATTTTTAACTATTTTTTTAAAATACTACCCTAAAAGAAATAAATTAAAAAAAGAAATAATTTAGAAATTATAAAAAATACGAGGTTTAAGAAGTTAAAAGTATATAAAATAATAGAAATTAATAACTAATAAAAATCTTAAAATTAATTATTTTATTTTTTTATAGTAATATAAACGTTTATTATTACTATTAGAAAAAGAATTATTAAAACTTATTTTTTTATATTAAATAAAAAAGAGGATCTTAGTAAGTATAATAATTAGTAATTTAAAAAAGTAATAATAATTACTAAAAATAATAAAAATAAGAATAATAATAAGATAGTAAAAAGAAATAAAAATTACTTAGATTTTAATAAATTCGTTAAATAGTAAAAGTACGGATTTATTATAATTAGTACGTAAATTAAATATATTTGTATTAAAATTAAATATATTAATAATTATTAATATAAGTACTAGTTAAAATACGACCCTTAATAAGTTAAAATAAGAAAGAAAAAAAAACCCCCGATTTTAAATAAAATCTTAATTTTTTATAAGTAAGTAAATATTAACTTAAATTATTAGGGAACGTAGATATATAGGATTGCGGATTAGTTTAATAATAAGTAAATTAATATAGTATTAATCTATTTAACTAAAGTTTATAAGAAAAAGGGGCTATAAGGGTAACCCCTATTTTATAAAATCGTAGATAACTTTAGTTACTAGCTAGGTAAATAGTTTGTGAGTATAAGCTTAGGAATTATAAAAGTAGTTAATAGATTTTTTTATAAGTAAGGGGTATTATTAGTATAATTATAATTATAAGAATTATATAAAATTTTAATAATAATAATTATAAAAGAGGAATTCGTACTATAG